CATCATTGTTGATGATCGAAGGAGCCATCGGGCCTAAAAGATGACGACACAGAGGAACTCTCAATGAAAGCACCAATGTCGGTGTCAAAACTGGCAGATCTCGGGTAGAGGGTCCCGAACTGTGCGTCTAGGCAGATGGTAACAGGAGACAAGGGACACGATGTTTTTACCCAGGTTCGGGCCCTCTCGATGGAGGTAAAACCCTACTCCTGCTTGATTAATATTGATGATATGGGTAGTACAAGAGTAGATCTACCACGAGATCAGAGAGGCTAAACCCTAGAAGCTAGCCTATGGTATGATTGTTGTTCGTCCTACGGACTAAAACCCTTCGGTTTATATAGACACCGCAGGGGGCTAGGGTTACACAGAGTTACAATGGGGGGAGATCTACATATCTGTATCGCCAAGCTTGCCTTCCACGCCAAGGAAAGTCCCATCCGGACACGGGACGAAGTCTTCAATCTTGTATCTTCATAGTCCAGGAGTCCGGCCAAAGGTTATAGTCCGGCCATTCGGACACCCCCTAATCCAGGACTCCCTCACCCAGCCTCGGTGAAACCGTTGGACCTTTATTGTGATAATTCTGGTGCCATCGCACAAGCCAAGGAGCCGAGGAATCACCACAAGGTCAGACACATAGACCGGAAATATCACCTGATACGAAAGATCGTAAAGAATGGTGATGTAGAGTTATGCAAGATTCACACGGATGCAAATGTTGCAGATCCGTTGACTAAGCCACTTCCACAACCCAAGCATGAGGGGCACGTTAGAGCTATGGGCATACGATGTCTATTTGATTGACTCTAGTGCAAGTGGGAGACTGTTGGAGATATGCCCTAGAGGCAATCATGTATGATGATATTTCCTATGTGTTTATGAATAAAGATAGTCCTTGGACATTATCAATGATGTGTATCAGCAAGTACGTGACTTGTTTGTGGGACTATGCATTGTATGATGACTGTCCTAAAAGGTCCCTAGTCGAAAGGGTTGTGTGGACGCGCAGCCGACTAGACTAGCATATGACACGGTCGATGACTTGGTCTCACTAGCCATGGAGCGTTGGATGCTAACCGGATAATATGGACTTGGAAAGGTCTAGTCGGATTCGACGTAGTCGGATCCGAGTCGAGATAAGGTCTGAGTCGGATAGACCCAACTATGAGACGCAGCGATATGTCATCTGTGAGTCTCTAGTACAACATACGTTCTATGTCCTAAGACCTGAGCTGACGCATGTACTTGGGATGGTGACAGACTTGCTTTGGGCCGACCGAACGCTACTCTGTGACTGGGTAGTTACAAAGGTAGGTTTCGGGTATGTCCAGTCCCATGCTGCGAGACATGGTCGAGCAAGATGGGATTTGCCCCTCCGATTAGGAGAGATATACTCTAGGCCCCTCGTGTGATCCGACCAGGATAAGCATGGCCATGCGACAAGGGTTATGAGATAGTCCGGGTAGTGGTCGGGATCACTGGAACGAGAAAGAGGTCGGGCTAGCACAAGGATGACAGTCTCGCCTTGAGCCCGACAACATATATCGTGCGGCAAAGGGAACAGAAGTGTGACACGTTGTATAGGTTCGCCTAACCAACTTCATAGTCTGCTTGATGGTCGGTGATAACCCACAAGTATAGGGGATCGCAACAGTTTTCGAGGGTAGAGTATTCAACCCAAATTTATTGATTCGACACAAGGGGAGCCAAAGAATATTCTCAAGTATTAGCAGTTGAGTTGTCAATTCAACCACACCTGGAAACTTAGTATCTGCAGCAAGGTGTTTAGTAGCAAAGTAATATGATAGTGATGGTAACAGTAACAAAAGTAAAGACAGCAAAAGTAATGTTTTTGGTATTTTGTAGTGATTGTAACAGTAATAACGGAAAAGTAAATAAGCGAGAACCAGTATATGGAAAACTCGTAGGCACCGGATCGATGATGGATAATTATGCCGGAAGTGGTTCATCATGTAACAGTCATAACATAGGGTGACACAGAACTAGCTCCAGTTCATCAATGTAATGTAGGCATGTATTCCGAATAAAGTCATACATGCTTATGGAAAAGAACTTGCATGACATCTTTTGTCCTACCCTCCCGTGGCAGCGGGGTCCTATTGGAAACTAAGGGATATTAAGGCCTCCTTTTAATACAGAACCGGAACAAAGCATTAGCACATAGTGAATACATGAACTCCTCAAACTATGGTCATCACCGGGAGTGGTTCCGATTATTGTCACTTCGGGGTTGCCGGATCATAACACATAGTAGGTGACTATAGACTTGCAAGATAGGATCAAGAACTCACATATATTCATGAAAACATAATAGGTTCAGATCTGAAATCATGGCACTCGGGCCCTAGTGACAAGCATTAAGCATAGCAAAGTCATAGCAACATCAATCTCAGAACATAGTGGATACTAGGGATCAAACCCTAACAAAACTAACTCGATTACATGATAAATCTCATCCAACCCATCACCGTCCAGCAAGCCTACGATGGAATTACTCACGCACGGCGGTGAGCATCATGAAATTGGTGATGGAGGATGGTTGATGATGACGACGACGACGAATCCCCCTCTCCGGAGACCCGAACGGATTCCAGATCAGCCCTCCCGAGAGAGATTAGGGCTTGGCGGCGGCTCCATGTCGTAAAACGCGATGATTTCTTCTCTCTGATTTTTTTCTCCCCGAAAGCCAATATATGGAGTTGGAGTAGGCGTCGGAGGGCCACCAGGGGGCCCACGAGGTAGGGGGCGTGCCCAGGGGGGGCGCGCCCCCCACCCTCGTGGACAGGGTGTGGGCCCCTTGGTCTTCTTCTTTGGCCAGGATTTTTCATTAATTATCCTAAGACATTCCGTGGAGTTTCAGATCGTTCCGAGAACTTTTATTTTCTGCACAAAAACAACACCATAGCAATTCTGCTGAAAACAGCGTCAGTCCGGGTTAGTTCCATTCAAATCACACAAGTTAGAGTCCAAAACAAGGGCAAAAGTGTTTGGAAAAGTAGATACGACGGAGACGTATCAGTCGGCACGCCTTGCTAGAGGCCGCTACCAACCGTGCATGTCGGAGGTGATCCGAACTGCGACCAAGCCGACTTGAACCTAAGGGGTCGCGCGCTTAAGGGAAGGAACCTACGAGGTCGGTTTGTAGGACACTAGTCGGATGTGATCCGAACTAGACTAGGAACGTGACCGAGTAGACTTTGGGCTTTAGGGTCCGTGCGAGGCCCAAGTGTTGAGCCCGCGACGGACGCCTATATAAGGTGGAGGTGCAGCGCACTTATTTGGTTGATCGCTTCGGCACTGCGACTAGGGTTTGCATGTGTTGCGAATAGACACCTCCACTCGCTGCCGACTGTGTGATCGGACCTAGCAGTCCGCCACACGGTGTTCCTCCGACACGCGCGGATACCGTTAGAGGCGGTGCACTTGCGCCGCTCCGGCGAACTTGTACGTGGGATCGGACGACCGGCTGTTCGAGGGAGATCGGACAAGGAGGAGACGATCCACGCGGACGCGCTGCCCCAACTCTTCTTCAGCGGCACGGCACTGCGCGTCTAGTGGTAACGAACTGTGATCCATCTCCCGTAGCATGTTCTTGGTTGTTCTACGCATAGGAAATTAATTTGCAGTCGATGCACCCTACCGTAGACCCCAACAATTGACATGTGTTTACCTAACATCATGACAAAACAATCCTCATCGGCTACATTAAGGAATTTCTTTGGAATGTTGTCATAGTACCAGGGTTACTTCTCAAATTGCTTGAGCATATTCGTCCAAGTTAGTATGTTAACGTTTACGGTCAATTCATAATCAAATACGCTGCTAACTACGATGCTACCATCACGCAGGCGATCGGTGCAACGCCCATGCCAAATCTTCAACATAATTGGAACATTGTTGGTCATGTCATCAGTGAGGTGGAGGCATTAATTATATGAGTGCATAGAATGTGATTGGAAGTGGAGGGAAGAAAGAAGGGCTCTATGCACCAACAATTAGGTATGTGCCACCATCGAGCGTCTTGGCAAATTATCAGGCATGTACCATTATCGAGTGCTGCTGGTGGACCTCAAGTTTAACTAGAGCATTTGAAATAAAGAAAACAAACTCGATTTTAGAGGGAAAACAAGTTGAAATAAAGAAACAAAACTAAAGATTATGAGAGATTGTTTCAACTAGAGCATGATGATCCGACTCAAAGAAAAAAAAACTAGAGCATGATGACAGATCCCATCATCTCACCTATGATCCTTCATCAAGTACTTCATCGAAGCCGCTCCTCCATGATCAGTGGCGTCCATAGCCTCGGCCCAAAAAGGTTGATTCCACAGGATTACACAATTGACCAGTCCTACTCCAACTCTGAAGGCGATCTTAGTTTAAAATATTAATATTTTGTTAAGATGTTAAACGTAACCATGACAGAAAAGATGTTGTACTGCTTTTCGTTGGTGTTCTAATGTTTCTCTTGCCCGTTCTTCCCAAAATGGTCAGGATGCTTCTAAATTGCACCATTACCTGATCAGGGCGAATGCAGTCTCAGACGTCCTATCTTCTGCCTGAGCCGATCTCGGCCGTCCGTAATTCTCACAGCGTCTGGTAAAAACCATCCGGCAGAAAACCTAACTCGCCAGCCCTGCCTTCAAAGAAAAGAAAAAAATAACTCGCCAGCCCTCTCTCTGCTGTCCGCTCCACAGCTTCCGCCGCCACCCTTCCCGTTCCCCTCCGCCACCGCTGCCGCGCTCCGCTTCTCCCCCCACGGCACTAGCTCCCGCCGTCGAGCTCCACCCTCCTCCAATCCCCGCCCCGGGCTCTGCTCCCCCCCAGTGCCACCACCTCCAATCCATAGCGCCGGCGGCGGCGGCGCTTCCGGCGACATCACTGGACAGCGGCGAGTATGAATATATATAGGTAGAGGGAACAAACTAATCGTTCCTCTGGACAAACTTCCATCTTACTCCAAGCCCACCTCCAGAATGGCAGAGCAATGCAAGATTTCTGCTGCCATGGTATCTGAGGAAAGGTCGTACGTGCTCAAGGTAGATGGATACTCCAGAGCCAAAGCTCTACTCAAGAGCGGCCAGTGCGTGAATTCTGACCTTTTCAGTGTTGGAGGCCACGACTGGGCCGTGGGATATTACCCAAACGGTGACGATGATGATTGTACCGATTTCATATCTCTTTTTCTAAGTTTTGAATCTGCCGTCGCTGAAGATGTGAAGGCGAAATTCACGTTCAGTGTACTTGACGAGAATGGAGAACCGGTGCCTTCATACAGCCATACGTTCCCTTTGGATACCTTCTTAAGCAAAGGTGATAACTTGGGTTGCCGTAACTTCATCAAGAAGGCTGATCTGGAGGCATCGGCGCATATAAGAGACGACAGTCTTACCATCAAGTGCGATCTCACCGTCATCCACGACGAAGAAACAATTGTTCCTCCAAGCAACCTGCACCAGCATCTTGGTGACCTCCTAAACAGCAAGGATGCAGCAGACCTAACCTTTCAGGTCGGTGGACAGAGTTTCTCGGCCCATAGATGTGTCCTCGCTGCTCGGTCATCAGTCTTCAAGGTGGAGCTCCTCGGCCCCACGGAGGAGAGTTATGCAGCTAGTCCTATTGAAATCCGTGACATGGAAGCAGATGTGTTCAAGTCGTTGCTCCATTTCATATACACCGACACAGTTGCTCCTGTGCTTGATGTGGTGATGGCCGGCCATCTACTTGTTGCGGCTGACAGATACAACATTGGCAAGCTGAAGATGATATGCGAGGAGAAATTGTGCAGTCACATTGATTCCGGCATGGTGGCAACTAGTTTGGCATTGGCCGAGCAGCATGGTTTCCATGCTCTCAAAAAATCTTGTTTAAAGTTCCTTGCTTCTCCGTCCAATTTGGAGGCGATGATGGTGAGTGATGGGTATGAGCATCTGAAATCTAGTTGCCCATATGTTTTCAAGGAGCTTGTAGCTGGAATCCTCCCGGCTGAACTGAAAGCAGCAAAGGATATTATCATGACAATGTGGAGGTAACGCCTACAGAACTAGGATCATACATGTCATCCAAATTTTCGTATTATTGGTTATGCTACTTCTCCATGTATGGTTGCTAGTGTATTTCTGAACAAAATTGTTGGTATTAATCATTCAATCTAATATATGTTCAGGTGAGTAGAATTGTTATGATACTTCTTGTCACCGTTGCCCTATTTTGTAGCGACTGACTACCATGCTAGGTTGCATGGGTCCTTGAAACACCACTATTAGATGATGGCGTTTCTTTGTTTTGTCCGTTATTAGCATTCATGTCTAGTTATGCACTGAAAAACTGAATGTAAAGTATGGATGCCGTGTATGTGGACCTTGGGATCTTGTGTTGTACTCCCTCCGTCCGGAAATACTTGTCATCAAAATGAATAAAAGGGAATGTATGTAGATGTATTTTAGTTCTAGATACATCCCTTTTTATCCATTTTGATGACAAGTATTTTCGGACGGAGTGAGTAACTCCGTTCAAAGCACTAAGCCAAAAAAAAAATGTACTCTTCAAGCATTTGACCATTGATATCCTCTGTTAGCTAATACGGAGTAGTTTTGACGGGGCATTGGTTATTATTTCCCTCTGAACATTGCTGGTAGTGCTGCTGTGCGCTTGTTATGTTGTTGGGGGTTGTTTGGATTCAGTTATCGAAAAGCCCTTTTTAGATGGAAAACAAGTTTTTGTAGTTTTCTGATAAGCACAACTGTTGTGGTTCTGTTGTCTGCTAAATAATATACCACGTGTTGTTGTCTTGAGAAAATGGCGGGATAAAAGTTGTTCGGGTCGTTACGTTCAGCTGGATTGTACTAGCATTGGTGACCAAATTGGTCAAGCAGCTTCTGAATCGTACACTGCAGATCGTATAGATGACGCCCCACAACCATTAACATTTGCAAGCCATCAATGCTTTCTGTTCCAGCAAATCGCCTACACATACAGTTTCTGGTCGTGCAAACTTTTTTTTTAAGAGTACGCCGAGAGCGTATCTAAGCTTTATAGAAGATGGAATTAGTTACAAGAAAATATCCATGGCAACCACCACGAACCGGCGAGGCCAACACCAACGCCTACTCCCATGGTACTCGACTACTCACACAATTGTTGTACACTCCGAGAGCTCCTGCCGCCAAAGCCGCAGCTCCTCATAAATATGCGTCGACAGCTCCCATTCATTGATTGTATCCCGCCCGCTGAAGACGCGTCCGTTCCATTGCTTCAAAATATTCCAACATATCAGCATGACCAGCGAGTCGAGTCCTTTGCAAAATCTTTTGGGGATGGACTTCTGGGAAGTGGGCCATCAATCATGGATGCGTCTGTCTCCAAAGGTAAGGTTCTGAAACTCAATTTCTGCCCATCGAAAACATTGGAACTAGACTTGCCTCGAGTACATGCACTGAAGCAGGATGTGATCAACAGTGTCTTCTTCTTGATCGCATAAAAAACGGACGTCCGTCTCATCTTCAAGCCCATGGCGAAATCTTCTGTCAGAGGTCCATAGCATATATTGGAAGGCCAGACACATAAACAGCCTGCACGTCAGGGATGCCGAGCACTTCCAATAGGCCGTTAGCACATCCTAGCCTGATCGCCCCCCCTCATTCATCATACGATAAGCTGACGCCGCCGACTACTACCCGAGTTATCCCACTTCCAGATCGCCTGATCCTCCTCGGTGGGGTTTAGGTGAGGTTTGTAGAGCAGTTCCCATAGGTGGATACTAAACCAGTCCCTCTGTGGGTAGTTCGCTCACAATATCATTTATCCAATTGCTCGAAGTAAGGCCACTTTGGGCGGACCTCCTATTAACAGTCTAGGTTCTGACCTGCCCAAAAGCGATTGGCGCTATGTCAGCGATCCTACTCCCATGGATCCAATGATCTTTCCAAAACAACACGTGTTTTCCATTGCCGATCTTCCAGTGCACCAAACTAGTGAACGCGGCCTGCATATCCTTATCCACTTTCATGGCCAGCCCTTGCCAGGGTCTCGATGCATCAGTGCGCCTTAGCCATTCCCATCTGAGTCGGAGGGCAATACCTTGTTTGCGCAGGTCAATCACTCCAAACCCACCAAGCTCCTTAGGGTGACAGACTCTTTTCGAAGCTACCAGACACTTCCCGCCATGTATTTCCTATGTGCCTGCCCAGAAAAACACCTTGCATCCTTTGTGGATGCAATCCAGAGCCCACTTCGGAGCGTTGGTCACAATCATCAGTAGGCATGGCCATCACCACACTCTTAATCAGGAGTTCAGGACCAATCTACCAGGCCTCGTGATCATGCCTCTAATCCAGCCAGGCAAGCAATTCAGCATAGAGTCGACCATCGGTTGCCACCGGTTGCGCGTAAGCTGCTTGATCGAAAGATGAAGACTGATATACTTGCACCGGAAGCACTCAAGCGTCTATGGAAATGCAGCGGCAACCCTCTCCTTATCACCCTCTCCAGGTCTGATTAGTATAGCCGAGGATTTTAGAAAATTGACTTTCAGCCCCGAGGCCTCCCCAAAGATCGACATGACTTCCTTAACAAAATTTAGGTCCAAAAACGTAGGCCTAATGAAGAGCACTACGTCGTCGGCGTAGATAGAAAGCCTTTGCAGTGGAGAACATCTAGGCATTGGGCTAAGCACTCCCATCTGCTGCACGCGAATGATTAGAGTCGACAGTGCATCCATCGCAATCACGAAAATTAGGGCTGAAATTGGATCTCCTTGTCTCAATCCACACGCATGCATGATCTTCGCTCCAACACATCCATTGACTGATGATTGACAGGTCGCGGGAACATGAGCCTGGCTAATTATTGGTTCTTTGTTGCTGATTTTGTTAACAAAAAAGCGCCGTGCCATTTGTGGAATGTGAACCATATGGAGATGAAAAGTTTTGTTTGTTCATTTGAAATGTTAAATTGTTGATCCGGGGTCACATTGACCGACGTGGAAAATCATTAATGTTGCATGCATTGCATCGGCAGATGGAAAGGCTTGGGTGCACTGGCACCTATTGTCTTCGTATGCAGTGCAGTGGCGTCTCCTCGTGAAGGTAATCGACTAGTAAATGGTGCGGCTAGGCCACAGTTTCCTTCTGGCTGTATGTGAAACAACTGGATCATACTTCCCAGCTGCATCTCTATATATAGATAGCCGAAGCAAAATCTCTCCTCTCGCCAGTACTCAAATCTACCAAACCCACCTCCGGAATGGCGGAGCAATGCAAGATCTCTGCTGCCATTGTAGCTGAGGAGAAGTCGTGTGTGCTCAAGCTAGATGGATACTCAAGGGCCAAGGGGCTACTCAAGAACGGGGAGTTCATCATTTCTGCCCTGTTCAATGTTGGAGGCCATGACTGGGCGGTAAAATATTACCCAAATGGTATTAAGGATCATGCCGATTCCATATCTCTTTTTCTACTTCTTGAATCCGCTCATGCCAAAGATGTGAAGGCGAAATTCAAGTTCAATGTACTCAACAAGAACGGAGAACCGGTGTCTTCATACGAGCGTACCCACTCTATATGTACCTTCTCAAGGAAAGGTTCAGACTGGGGCTCCCGTGAGTTCGTCAAGAAGGCTGATCTGGAGGAATCGGCCCACCTGAGAGACGACTGTCTCACCATCAGGTGCGATGTCACTGTCATCCACGGCAAAGAAGAAACAAGGGTTCCGCCAAGCGACTTGCACCGGCAGCTCGGCGACCTCCTTGAGAACAAGGACGCAGCAGACCTAACCTTTCAGGTTGGTGGACAGAGCTTCTCCGCTCACAGATGTGTCCTTGCTGCTCGGTCATCCGTCTTCAAGGCGGAGCTCCTCGGTGCCATGAAGGAGAGTTCTGCTGGTTCTATTGAGATCTGTGACATGGAAGCTGACGTGTTCAAGTCTTTGCTGCACTTCATATACACCGACTCGGTTCCCCTGCTGGAGATAGCTAGCAACAAAGGCGAAACAGATGTGGTTATGGCTGGCCATCTACTGGTAGCAGCTGATAGGTACAACATCGGCAGGCTGAAGCAGATATGCGAGGAGAAATTGTGCACCCACATTGATTCCAACATGGTGGCTACCAATTTGTCTCTAGCCGAACAACATGGTTTCTCACGCCTCAAAGAAGCTTGTTTGCAATTCCTTGTTTCTCCGTCCAATTTGGAGGCTATGATGGCTAGTGATGGTTATGAACATCTGAAGTCCAGCTGCCCATCCGTTCTGAAGGAGCTCATTGCTAGAATTCTGCCGGCTGAATATAAAGCGGCAAAGGATATTATCTTGGCAATTTAGTATTAATGCGTTTAGCATATATGTCATCCGAATTTTCAGTTATGCTACTTCTCAATGTACGGTTGAGTTTATATTTCAGAACAAAAATGCTACTCCTTATCAATCATGTTCAATCCAACCATGTGAGTTGAATTGTTATTTTCCTTTCTTGCTAGATATATAAAAGAAAGCATTATTAAGATTGCCCATGTACCGATGTACGTATGTACCGTGCTTATCCGTTTGTGTATTTGCTTACTTATTACCGAAAAAGGCTTTCGCCCCGCTTTATATTATAAAGCCACCGCACAATAAGCATTCAACAAGGTTCAACACAAACCACGCACACACACACACGGAGGTCCACAAGAATAAATAGCACAAGAAAGGGTCAATGCTGAAGGCACAACACAACAAGCCCTAAACCCAAAACACACACACCACAGGCTAGTCGGACTAGTCAGGCTCTAGGGGAGGAGGCGGTTTTGCTTACTTATTGAATCGATTACTTCATGTGTGCATGGCTAACATTCAGCTGGATGCAGAATTGGTGTCATCCTTGTTCCAGTGCTCGCATAAATGGTCTAAACTCTTATTTCCTTTTTCTTTTTCAAAGTCACAGCTTATATAGCCCTTGGGAGTTGGGACCTTCTGTTCTACAGTTTAAAGCACTAGGAAAAAAATGCATGTCATCTTGAACAATTGACTGTTACATTTTCTGTTAGCTCTAGTTCTGACC